CCCATCCCAACACCAAAGCAACACCAACACAAAATCCAGCCCAACACCAAACCCATCCCACCCCAATTAATGCAACTGCCACCAAACCCAGACCAAACTCACAGAGTGTTCATGGAACATCAGCCATCCACATGAAACATGGCAGGGCTGCACCCAGAGACTCTTCTGATGTCACTTCCAGCACCCATCATTGCACCCTCTCTGTGACTGACCAGGGGCCACGGGAGAGGCTCTGCCCACTGCCAGTGTCACCACCCAGCTTTTGTTTCATTTTAATTGATTACTTTAATATTAAGCATCAAATGCTGTGTCAGGCTGGTTTAAAAAAATATTTCCTACCTTTAATTTCTCTTGGAATAAACCAATGTTTACTACAGTATTAAAGCTGGCCCAAAATGGGAACATTTAGTAAGCGTTCCAGACAAGTTTTTCTTTTTGGAAAATTTTAATTTAAAAAAAATATTCCACTGGCTCTCCTGTAAGAGCAATAACTTCTGCCTCAGTTTGATTTCCTTTCCTCCAGGAGACATCTCGTAAATACATGTGTGTGGGACTTTTGTTCCCAGAAACTCTCTAGGTAGCACATCCAAAAGCTCCCAAGTGCCTCTGGAAAGGAATTTACTCTGCTCTCAGAGTAACTGGAGTATCCAAGGAGCCCAGGGGGACCCTGCATGGAAAGGTTTTGTGGGGACACGGTGGGAGCAGCGCGGTGCTGCTGCTCACACAGCATGGCTAAGCAGGTCCCTAAATAATTCCCTGTCCCCAGAGAATGCCTTGTGCAGGGCTCTTGGCAGGTTTGCAGCTCCCATTCGTGCCCAGCTCCCGCTCTGCCCCAGCAGCAGCCGGGAGGGCAGGAGGGAGCGGTCGGCACAGGAACAAACACAAACACAGTGCTGACAGATGAAGTATTACGGGTTTTTAAAACCCTTTCCATCAGCCCTCCCCATCCCTCTCCCTGCCCCAGGGAGGGGCTCTCACACACCCGCCCCAGGCAGCCCCAGGTCCCAGCAGCAGCCCCAGCCACGGAGCGACGCCGGGGCTGGATAAAGGCCGGCCTCATCCTAAGCCAAGGCTGGATACAGCCCAGCCCCGGCTGATGCCAGGGCTGGATAAAGCCTGGCCTCATCCTCGGCTTCGGGAAAGCCAAGAAATAGCACAAAAGCTGGCTACAGAATGCAAAGATGGAGATGAACCAGCTAGGGAAACACCGGATTTTATCCCTACAAACCTCTCGCCTTCTTCATCCAACACCTCAGAGCAGAGACCACGAGGCACTTTGGGGACCTCACCCCTGCCCAAACCACTCCAGCCACGTGAGGGGCCCAGAGTGTTCCCCAAATGCTACGGAGAGGGTGTGATCCCATGGGAATGAGCTGTGCCACCCACCCTGGAAAGCAGGAAATCATGATTGCCTTTTTCCTCTTTTTTTTCCCCAAGACAAAAGCCCAGGAAGTTTAATTACTGTGGACAAAAACGTGAAGAGGGCTGAAATTTCAGCTCCCTTCTCTCAAAGGGGCACCACGGAGTGAAGGAAGCAGCAGCTCCAGGCTGGGGGTCGAGGGCTTTGGAGCCTCTCGGTGACTGGCTTCAAGTGTCCTTTGCTTCTCTCCTTACATTTCTTCTAAAAATATCAAATATAGATCTTTTCCTCATAATATTTTAAGATACTCTATTTATACATTAATCCTTTCAAAAATAAAAAGTGACACATAGAGCAATTCAGCCACTCAAAGTCTTTAAAACTTACAAAAAAGCCACGACATCCATCCCCAGCGCCACGGCCTGGGGGTTGAGACTTTCTTTTTATAAAATATGATTCCAGCTCCCAAAATCCCGGCTCTGCAGTCAGACAGGCCTCCTTCTCCCTCCCTCCCTCCCTTCCAAAGGACCTGGAACGAGCAGGGTTTGCACGCTCGCCCTGCCGAGCCCTCGTGGAGTGTCCATGGAGGCAGGAGCCGGGCTGGGGCAGCCCAGGGGCTCCTCCCTGGAGCTGCTCCCTGGCTCTCCACAGCCCCACCTCGGCCACAGCGACAGCAAACGCCCCGCAAGGATGGAAATAATTCACCTGGCACAACCAGCACTGCACAGACTTGGCACGGATGAGGCTGCAAGCAAGGGGAGGCCTGAAAAGCAACGCTGGAGAGAGGCAGAGGCAGCTCCAGTAGGGCACATCAGCAGCCTGGGCGCTGGTGGGAGCAAGGATGTGTCTGTACAGTGGGACTGGGGAGGGGAGGTACCAAACAGCCAAACAGCAGGACTGGGGCTTGTCTGGGGCTGCAGCACGGGCTGCCCACCTCGCACAGACTGAGGGTTACCCCACAAAATCAAAATCCTGAAAATAAAAAAGAAGAGTTTGAGAGGTTTGGTCCAAAACATCCTCTCTGCAGGTGTCTGCTGAGCCCTGCCAGCCCTGCAGAGCCCACCCGGGGCTCGCTCTCGCCCGCAAGAGCCGGTGCTGCCGTGGCACAGGGAGGGGACACGGCCAGGGCTGCCTGCTCAGCCCTTCCCCTGCCCCAGAGCTCGGGGTGCTCCCTGGCAGCACCCAGAGCTGTGCTTGGGGCACCAGGGAAGCACGGGGAAGGCTCTGGGAGCACAGGACTCCTCCTTGGTGGGACCCTGCTCCGTGGGGGCCCAGGGCTCCAGTGGCTCCGGCCATTCCCAGTCTTCAGCTCGGCCCCTCGGGGCACGTGGCTGTCCCTTGGCTGGTTTTCCATGGCTGGGATGTGGGCTGGAAGCACGCCCACCCGGGGCTGGGGTGTCTCTCCATCTCCCCAGGACCGCTCCCCTGTGGAGCAGGACGGGAGGCGACGTCCGACCCACACAAACATCCAGCAGCGGGCACAGGGGTGTCCTCACCCCGCTCACGCGGTGGCAGAGGGCACAGGGCCTGCAGGACTCGCCATGGATACCATGGAACGCTCAGCAGCAGCTCTGTGCCCCCACAGTTATAGGAACTCCACGTAGTTCTCGGGGATCAGTCCTGTCTTGCCGTTGAGGGTCCCTTCCAGCCAGCCGGGCTCCTGCGACGGGTGCACTGCAGAGACAGGGCAAGGGCAGGTGAGACTTTAACCTGTGCTCATTTTGAAGAAAGGGAACCAACGGAGTTAAAGATGATCTTCAAGGCCCCTTCTGAGCCAAACCATTCCCTGGTTCTGTGAACACACCAGGGGCTCAGGCAGCTGAAGTGTTCTGTCCCTGCCTGATCCCCATGGGACTCCTCAGCCTCTCCCTCACCAAGTCAGCTGCAGGCTCAATACTGCCTGGGGCTGCTGGGCTGAGGGAAGTGGAGCATTTGGGATAAAAACAGGGGCTCACAACTTCTCTTGATTTGAGCTAAGGTCTCTTGGAAGTTGGAGAGAATTGTGGTTAACTCCATGCCATGGTTGAACTATGCACATCCTAGCTTGCCCTGGGCCCAGGCTGGGAGGGAAATTGCATTAGGAAACAATCCCAGTGGGAAAGCAAACCCTGCAACCTGATTGTGTGCAACCAGAAACCTGATCAGTCCTCAAAAGCCTTTCTTTATTCAATCAACTCCCAAAAATTTGCTGATTCTGCAGGAGCCAGGCCAGGGTTACGCCTGCAGGCAGAGGAATATCCCCCCTCCCTCTGTAATGGTGTTCCAGAGCCCCTGCAGCTCCCGGGGCTCCTGTGACTCTGCAGCTCTGGCCTCACTGCCTCACTCCGTGCCCAGAGGAACTGGAGCTCTCAGACGTGGGTGCTGCTCCCTGTGGGCAGCAGCAGCCCCAAGCCCCAGCTGGATCAAGCTGCTGCTCACAGAGGCCCAGAGTCAAACTGGAACCTGGCTCCAAGTATTGCCAAGACCCCTTTGCCCTCACTGGGGTTTGGAAAGTTCCTTGATCATAGCAAGACTCCCACCAAGCCAGGCTGGTTCCACTCAGGTCCTGCAGCCAACGTGAGCCCCGGCTGTGCTGCTGAGTGACTGGAACACACTGTGTACTTTTTCCCTTGAATAATCCATTGATTTTTATCAGCAAACATAATGTATTTAATTCAAACTTGTTCCCCTCCTAGCTGCTCCGATTCCCACAGGCCCTCAGAGGGGAGACCATGTTTATTTATAAGATGACTATGGAGCTGCTTCGGAGAAGGATTGTCTTTAATTCGCATGTATTCATTCTCCTCCCCTTTCTGCTGTATTCGCCTCTATATCCCAGGGCAAAAACAGTGCATGTGGTAGCAGCTTCCCAAATGACAATGCTTAACATTTAAAAGCCAAGAATGACTTGGAAAGCAGTAAGAAGTCTTTTCGTTACACTGGGATTAAGCCAGAGCTGCTCAGTTCCATGGGGCACAAACTCTTGTGCAGGAAACACCAAATCTGTGTTCACTGGCGTGGGCTGAGAGCAAAGCCCACCTTGCTCCAGCGCTCACATCCAGAGGGAAAAAGCACAGCTGGCCTTCCCATCCCCTGCACACAACATCACAGCACCACCCAGAGTGTTTCTGGTGCTGCCAGAATCGACTCTCCCCTTCAAAGAAGAGCTCTGGGTATGGCAAACACCGGGGCTGGCACAGCTCACCAGGGTCTCCCTTGAGCTTAGGGAGGGGTCTGGAGCCACGGGAGGGTTGTGGAGCCCCCGGGGTGGGCAGAGGGTGGGCAGAGGGTGGGCAGAGGGTGGGCAGCCCCCAGGACACGCCAGGAGCACGGCTGGCCATGCCCTGGAGGAGCCCAGCACTCACCGTTGTCGAACACGGTGCCGGCCGTGAAGGAGAGCTCGGAGTCGTGCTCGGCTTTGCAGGCGTAGAGCGCGCGGGCCTTGCGCAGCGGGGAGCTGCAAGAGAGGGCACGAGTGGGCACAGAGCCACCCCACAGCACCCCACAGCACCCCACAGCACCCCACAGCACCCCACAGCACCGCCCTCACGGCGCTGTGCATCCCCTGGGGCTGCGGCTCTGCCGGGCTCCTCGGCTACGCTGCCGGGAGCGAGGGACACATCAGTGAGGCTGAGCCACTTTTCACCCCCGTGCAAATCCCAAATCCCAGCTGGCACCGCCTGGACTGCAGCCCACACTGGTGCCCAGCCCAACCCAGGGGTCTCCACAACAGCTCGAGGCTGGAGCTGCAATGTTCTGTGTCTCAGGAGCCATCGCTGACCAGAGGCTGGCACAGAGCAAAGGTGGCAGCAAGCGCTGGCAGTGACCCACTGCCACCGGCCCCGCTCTGCCAAACCCATCCAAGGGCAGCTGCAACCACAAGGAGAATTTCACAAGGAAGAATTAGCATTTAGGGAAGATTATTTCAAAGCAGAAAGGCAAGCAGGTCCATGAAGAATTTGCTGCACTTCTTTAGAGCCTGTACCTGAAGGTAAGAAAGATTTCAAAGCCATTAGATTTTGCTGGAAGTGTCAGCGTGCCCACGCTGCAGGGGAGGGAATTGGAGCAGGGAGAGGCTGGAATGGAGCAAACTGCTGGCAGAGAGTGGAAAATGAGGGACCTCAGGGCTCCTCAGGCACAGCACAGGCACACAGAGCAGTCCCTGCACCTGGAATCCCCACCCATCCTTCCCAGCTTGGGGCTGGAGCAGGGCTGGTGGAAAGCTGGGGTGCTGCCAGGCTGCAGTGCCAGTGCCAGTGCCAGTGCCAGTGCCAGGCCCTGGCCATTCGAGCAGCTGGACACATCCAGCACTGCTGCTCAGCTGTGGCACGGCCAAGGGAAGCCATGAAGTGCCCCCAGGAGCTGCTGGGGTGGGGAACAAGGTGTCACCATTCTCAGATCAGTGGTTTTATCAATTTTTACCTTTCCAAGGACTTGAAGTTCCCTTGAGCTCCTTGGATGAGCCCAGGGAAGCAGCAAGGCTTCACGGCAAGAGCAGCTCCCCTTCACACCAAACTCCAAACCCAGGAGCTGGGGATGGTTTTGGCTTTGCTGCAAAGAGAGCCCCAAAATGGAAATCTCTCTTCTCCAAATTCCAGCTGCCTGACACGAGCAGCTCCCTAACACTTAAAAACCAGGATGGGCAAACAATCCTCCCACTGCAGAGGGTCCTTCACTGCCGGGGAGCCACCGCTCACGTGGAGTGCTTGAGACCACCAGGTGCAAACCAAAAGGAATTTTCAGGCTCACGGGGCACTCAGGGCACGATGGCAGCGCTGGTGCCAAGGGCACGGGACCCCAGGCAGTGCCAGGCACCCCAGGGCACAGGGAGACCCCAGGGGGGTGGCACACAGCTCAGCCTGACCCTCTGCTCTGGGACTGGCTGGGAATCCTGCGCTGGCTCCTCTGCAGCTTCCAGGAAGGGTTTGCCCCAGCCATGCCCAAGGACCTTTAGCCTGGGCACAGAGCAGCCTGTGCCACCCCACACCCGTCACCCTCCTGAGATCCCAGACGAGGCACGGCCAGAAACCCGGGGTGGCAGAGCTTTCCAAGGGCTCTTTACTCCTCGCAGTGCACTTCTTACCTGCTGCAGAGCAGAGCAAAGCCAGCGCAGCGCTGAGCTGAGCTGGGCCCGGCAGTGACACCCAGCACGGCTCCCGGGGGCTGCGGGCTCCAGCCGGGGCTCGGGGGGTTCCAGGGGGCTCTCCTGGGGCAGCAGGGCTGGGAAGCTCCCCTCTTGCTGAGTGCAGACTTGGGAGGGCTCGAGCAGGATGCCAAGGGAAAGGGAAGTGAAGTGGAGGAAACCAGGGAAATTCAACAGAAGCAGCAAAAGCAACAAAAAGCCAAGCGAGTTGTGCAACAGACCTGATGGGGGATGAGTCGCTGGACGTAGAGGAGGTGGGCATAGGACTTGATGGCGCAGAGAACATGGGCCAGGACGGTGAGAGGGGTGACGTTGGGCTTGGATTCTGAGGGCTGCAAGACATAACCAGAGACCTTATCAACGTGCAACCACAGCAACAAACAGCAACCCAGAGGCACAGAGACGACAGCCGACGACAGCGAGCGCCTTGGGAATATTCCCAGCGTGAGACACAGCTACAAAATGAAGTGCCAAGACCTTGGGGAGTGTTTCAAGGCTGGGTCTGCATTTGTCTGGAGAACAAGAGCTGGATCTTCCAGTCAACCCCCGCCCCACTGCCCCGCTGTCACACCCGGCCCGTGTGCCGAGGGTCTGTGCTGCAGCACGGCCACTTACCTGCCTCGTGCTTCCCCCAGAGCTCCCAGAAATAGTGCTGCTGTTTCTGGATGTTAATGGTGCCCCTGCGCAGCCTCCACCCCCTCGGTCTGCCACTTGTGGTGCTCATACATCCAGGGTATAAAAATGTCATTATTTTGTTTCCCATGTTTCACATCCCTTTTTCCCCTTGTGTTGATTCCTGAAGCCAGAGCTGTCAAATGGAGCTGAATCAAGTTACTGAACTGGTAACTGCACATGGAAGTTTTTGGGTCCTTCCAAACTGTTCAATTCTCAAGTTCACCAAAAAGTAATTATTGTACTAAAATACCCGTTTGATTAATTTACTGCTTCTCTGCTTAGCACTCATTGGTATTCCCTATCCAATTCAGATTAGAAACTCCATCCCTGATAAAACACCAGAAATGTCTCTCCACACTGCAAATGCCTCTGTAAAAACAAGAAGTTTTGTAAAAGCATCATGACTTGTGTTTTCTCTCTGAGAGAGGGACAGTGCCTCTGATCACAGGTCTGTGATGAGGTGGGGACAGGGCACTACCCCCAGGATGTCCTTATCCCTCAGCTGGGGCCTCCTGGGGCACAGGGAAGGGATTCAGGGAACAGTGGCTCCAGAACCTGTGGAGAACCTCAGCCCTGCAGGAGTTCAGACCAACGTTTAACCTTCCCCAGTGTCCTCTGGCTGCCACCACGGGGGGATATTTATGACATGGATGGTTTCCCCTTGGAAATTGGACCATCTCTTAAGGCCAAACTCTTGGCTTGACTCCTTGCAGAAGCTGTGTCACTGGATTCAACAGACACTGATTAATTCCCTCTGAAATTACAGGCAACACCTTTATTATGTCAGAAGATTACACACACATAGAAATGGATACAGCAGTGAGGGCAGCATGGCTTCACCAGAGGCTGGAAACAGGGAATGCTGTCAGGCAGGCTATCAATGAGATCCTTAAAATGTTCTGCTAATAATCATCACTATTTAAAAACAATCATTTGGCATTTCTACCACCAAAACTATCTTTTGAAAAACGAGTTTTCCTTAGTCTTAACCAAACCTGACAGCCATTGGTACTTACCAGATACTCCATCTATCCCCACCCCCAAACTGGAGGTGCTACCAAGGTCACCAAGTCATCCCAAACTGCCAAAATTAACCCTTTAAGCACGAGTTCTTCCAAGAGATGGCCTAGCAATTCCCTTCAAGAGGAGCCTGGCCAAGGTGGGACTTGGAGGTGTGATGAGCTGCTGACCAAAATGTGGCTGAGAACCTCAGCTGTCCTGCTGAGAGTGGCCACAAATACCCAGCACTGTGCCTGTGGGCAGCAGGCTGGAGGTGCAAGAGGCCGTGGCACTGGTGTGCCAGCATGGGATGGCCACTGGGACATGGCACTGGTGTGCCAATGATGGGATGGCCACTGGGACATGGCACTGGTGTGCCAATGATGGGATGGTGGCCACTGGGACATGGCACCGGTGTGCCAGCATGGGATGGCCACCGTGTCTGCCACCAACCCTGGTCCTCTCCACTGCACAAAGGAAGGAAAATCCAACGACACAGGGCTCCAGGACCAGAAATTGCTGCTGCACTTTTTGAGATGAAATCATGGCAAAAGAATGCAGCTCTCATTTCTCCCCAAGCTGCTGCCATTGCTGCACAAGCACGCCCGCTCCGCTCCTGACAGCGGGGAATGCAACCAGCAGGAACTCAGAGGAATCAGGGAAAAAGCCCGAGAAAACCAACACTTAGCCAGCCTCTGCCTAAGAAGTTGCCACTAATTTGGAGCAGGATTTTGGTGTCTTTGGATCCTTGGTGTCACAGAAAGCACTCGGTGCCCAGCAAGCCCACGGAGAGAGTGGCTGGCTAATGCCAGTGTGTGCACTGGGTGTGCAGAGCACCCCGTGCCCACCAGGTGCTCACAGAGGAGATGAACATGGTCCTACGGTGACTGAGCTGCTCTGCAAGTCCTTCCAGAACATTTCCTCAAGAAGAAGCCATGGATAGCTCAGGACTCACCTGAGCTGCTGCCCAGCACCGACAGACCCTGGGGTATGATGGGTGTGAAGGGTTCACCTCCCTCCCATGAAATACAGGTATTTATTTTCAAGCTGCTGCTTCAGTTTCACCTTCCTGAGCTTATGTGACTGCCAGACCCAAGTCCTGCCTGGCTGGAGGTGTCAGTGCACGTGAGGGAATGGGCTATCCCGAGGTCTCTGGCGTTTTGGAAAGCAGTTTTCTTGTAGGATCCTTTGCTTCTCACAAAAAGAGCAGAGATGGTGAGAGGCTGGGGGGAAGTTCTGGCTGCTGCCTGCAGGCAGCAAATGTCAGCTGGATGTTTTTTTCCTTCTTCTTACTCGGGAGAGCTTTGCGAGGGGCTCTTCCTGTTGGGTGCACAGTGGAAACAAAACAGAGAAAACGGCTAAGAACCAAAACCATCAGAACAGGAAACAAAGCAATGCCTCACATTAGTCTTCCAAGGTGAGATTGGACCTTTCCCCAGCAGAAGCAGCTGGGGGAACTCCATGAGTAGCCCAAGGCATCCTGAGGCTGCTGCCCTTCCTGCTGCTCCTACTGCGCCTCGGAAGCAGAGGCTGTGATCCCAGCACTGCTGGGCACGGGCAGGGCACGGAGGGCACTGTGCCACAGCACCTGCAGGGCCACCTGCACTTCCATTCCATGTGTCCCCCTGGCAATCCCACTCTTCCAGCAAACACAGTACTTGGAAATGAACTTAGGAGCTAAATCCTCCTCCCTGCTTCCTGTGCTGGCCGTACACGCCACCTTTCCCATGCAGGTGTTTAGTTTGCTGCCCAAAGACGTGAAAAAAAGCAGTAACTCTTGTCTCAAGACTTTGCTGGAGTTGCTGGAACTAAAATAATTCTCTTGTGATCCCTTCTCGTACCCTGGCTCTTTCATTCCTCCTCCTCGCCCGGGCTGCCTCCGGCGCTCCTCGCCCGGCTCAGGCCCCCGGGCATGTGCAGCTCTCAGAGCCCTCTCAGCAGGTCTCCAGACAACTTCTGCTGCTTTCATCTCCTGGCCGAGAGGACATCGGCTCCACTTCAAACATGTTTACATCTTGTTTATTTTTGTGGAACTCGGGGCTATTTCTGCCACAGAACATCTCCCAGCTATGGACGGGCAGAGCCATTCCAGCCCTTTCATGAATCACCTCAAGAATAAACAACAATATTCCCCTTCTGACATGATCAGTACCTGACTGCAGTAAAATACATCAAGGACCACCCAGCCCTTTGCTCCCTGCTCTATTCCTATAGAACAAAGCTGCAGAACATAAGGTTCTTCTCAAAGGTAACAAGGAAAAAGAAAATTACAGCTTTATGTAATGCCAGAGCACTTCAGCTCTGCTGAAACAAGGACAAGACTGCAGCTCAGCAGCAGCCATGGCTCTGTTGCCTAAATGAAATGGAAGGCAGCCTGGGTTTGAGAAGCTGATGGAGCTCAAGCAGTGCAGCAGGTCCTAGCAAAGCTTGGAGAGATGGATGGGCTCTAGGGAGCTCCTGGGCACTGGCAGAACCACTCCAGACCAGAACCAGCTCCTGGGCTCAGTCTGGCAGGGTTCTTCCTGTGCTTGGTACTTTAATGCAAGAAAAATGATGCTAAATTCTCTGCAGTGTTACTCTCTCAGAAGTAATGTTGCTGCATGCTCATTTCGGTGGAAAAATTTAAAGAAATTGAAAGAAATAAACAGCTAGAATGGTCTGTGGTCAGCATCACTTTACCAAACTGGTCCAAAAAATCTCAAATTCTTCAGTACAGACCTTCCCCACTTCTCCATTTACCAGCTCCCCAATCTCCATCAGCACAGATTTCAGAGTCTTCTTTCCAACAACACGGATGTGTCCCTCTGTAATCCTGATGACACCCAGCACATGGGTTTGTCTTGTCACTTTGCTGCTTGGCTGATTTCCCATGTGTGGGAATATCTCCCTGCTTTAGTCATTTCACAAACCATCCAAAAGCTTTTCCACTTGCGTAAGAAGAGCCCAGGATGAGTTCTGGCAGTGGGGAGGACGCTGGAGCTGCTGTCCCACATTCCCATTTCCAGGCGCAGACGGACGGTGCTCCATGGGGCAGAGGGAGGTGACAGGCACAGAATTCAGAGCTGCTGCTAGTGCTGGGAGCAAGCAGGGTCAGCAGTGGCAGAGTTCTCAGCATGAGAAGCGCTGCAGGGAGGAAGCTGCAGGAGCAGCCTGCTGCCAGCACAGGTGCCCTCCTGCCAGGCGAGCTCCAGGTGATGGCACATCGGGCATCTTCACAGGGAACAGCATTTCAGTGACAGCTGCACAACTTGCTTGAAACAGAGAATCACCAGCATCACCAGCGAGCTACAGACCCACCAGTGACTGCTCTCACACGGCCCCAGCACTGGGACAGGCAGGGGGAGATGGGGCAGGGTAGGGAATGGAGGCAGCCACGGCTCCACACCAACCAGCCTGGACAGGACACAGTCACAGAATGGCCTGGAGGGGACCTCAAAGCCCACCCAGTGCCACCCCCACCTCCCACTGTCCCAGGCTGCTCCAAACCCGTGTCCAGCCTAGCTTTGGGCACTGCCAGGGGGATCCAGGGGCAGCCCCAGCTGCTCTGGGCACCTGTGCCAGGGCCTCCCACCCTCCCAGGGAAGGATTTCTTCCCAGTGTCTCACTCCACCTTTTGCTCAGCAGCTGCATTTTCTGCTCCATCAAAACCTCCCTCCCT